TGTGGCATGCTTGTGTGGCTGTCATTGTGGTGGCTACTTTGCAAAAAGGAGATCCAGATTCCATCCCTCTCCTGTGCCGACTTGTCTGCCCTGTATGATCATTTATTAGCTACATGAAATCCCATTTCAAGACTAATAGGCCAAGAGGGTTAGAATAATGATGGAATGCTTCCGGTCAGGTTCTGGAATATGATACTTGAGAATGAATCTAAACTTAGCTTGAGGACGGGTGTGGGGAGCAGGGACTACTCCAGGAATAAAGACCGAAGGGCTGGACACAGAGTTGCTATGAGGGAAGTTGAATGAGAATGACTTGGGCTGCTCAAGAGGAGAAAATAATGTGTGCTGTCCATCAGCTTAAACCTGTTGTTGTTTGTTCCAGTGTTCTCTGGGTTACTATAGAAGAAAAATGACAATTGGTATCCTTGGCACACAGATGCCCACACATTGAAAAAGGATAAAAAGTCACTCATCTACAGAGACACTTCATATTAGGACCTGAAAAAAAAATCAGGGGGATACTTAGCTCCACACGTTTAGCTTAGGTAAGAGGACGTGAGAACTCAGTTTATTTTAGGGGAAGGCTTGGACCTCCCTCTTGTGTTGAAACAATGGCAGAGGTATGCAGGCTGCTCACACTCTGGTTCACTACTCTGGCAGGCACCAACTGCAGACTGGGTTGATTTGAGGTGGAAGTCTTCATCTTAACATTATACTCACGGATACCTCTGATTTCTAAGAGCTCACTCTCATCTCACATATCAACTTCAAAAAACATGGTAACACCTAAATTAAGAGAAGTCCTCTAGCTGAGCAGAAAAAAAAAGGTTCTCTGAGAATGCTGGCCAACTGGTCTCCATCTCCATTTAGACAAAAGTGATTAAGCTATGTTAGGCAAGTTAAAGCAGAGGTGGACCAAAGCTGTCTGCCATGGCTCTTAGCTACAACAGCTAAATTCTGGAAGGAATCTGCAGTGACACCTTTCTCATACAGTTCCAGGAAGTAAAAAAATCAGTTACCAGTGCCAGGTGCTGGTGGCTCACACCTGTAATCCTAGCTACTCAGGAGGCTGAGATCTGAGGATCATGGTTCAAAGCCAGCCTAGGCAGTAAAGTTTGAAAGGCTCTCTTACCTCCAATAAATTACAAAACAATCCAGAAGTGGAGCTGTGGCTCAAGTGGTAGAGTGCTAGCCTTGAGCAAAGGAAGCTCAGCGGGACAGCACCCAGGCCCTGAGTTCAAAAATCAGTCACCATCTACAGAACTCAGAAGTGGATTGTGCTTATTATCAGAAAGACAGGCTATATGTCCATACTCTTTCCTTTATATGAGTAGATCTGACTCACATCCAATCATAAATAACTGCTGTGTGGCAGGTGAAATATTGTGAGTGAACAGTAACTGTTCAATGAGGCTTGAAAAAATGAATTCTCTCACTTTTCTCAAAACTATCACAGAGCCGTTAATGCCCCTCCCCTCCCCCTCCACACTGCTCAGCTGTCCTAAAATCACCTTCCTAGGAAGAGAGGAACACCCTGCCACCGTCTAGATGACAGTGTGCCCACCCCATCTGTAGACAGAGGTTCCAAGTTCTTTAACGAAGAGTTGTATGTTCTTTCTGAAACCAGGAGACAGAACTCTGGTCATAGGAAGAGCCACATTTGCATGCAAATGACAACACTAAGGAAAAAGCAAAACACATAAAACAAGGGCTCCTCTCTCAAATAGGAGGATATCACACTCACTGGTGGTCTCACTGGTTACACGATCAAAACAGGTATTTTCTGTCACTTCCTGTGGCTGTTGAGTGCTTCAGCAGAATCTCTTTGGGTGTTTTAATGAATTCAACTGAGCCATCCCTGTAGGTTACTTACTGAGTTTCTTGGCTCTGACTTTTACCTCTTCTTGGTGACAAGAGGAATGCTATACTTGACTCATGTTCAATGAACTGGAAATCCAGGTCAATACTGCGTCAGCCACTGCATTACTGCAAGGAGAGGACCCATCTTTTCTCCTACATACACCAGCCTTCTCCCTCCACCAAATGATTGTTCCTTTCTCTCAGATCCTACAAGCAGCTCATGACTCACAGCCTCTGTTCCCTGGCTCAGGCTGAATCTGTTACTCCCCTTAGCTTTGCCCTTGCTTCAAATCCTACTTTCTCCAAGTATTCTCCCCTGGTCAGGCCTGCCCTTGAGCCCTCTCTTAGCTGTTTCAGTTGCCTCATATCTGAAATATGCTACTGCACATGTGTTGATATTGCTCACCTACTGCTTCCTATAAATGCTGTATAAAATCTGAGCAACCGTGAAAGAGTGAAGTTCAGTGAGCTTAGATACAGGTGGGTATTGTAGCTCACACATGGGGTCCTTGCTACTTGGAGGTGGAGACTGGGAGGATCGTGGTTTGAGGCCAGTGCACAAGATCCTGGGGTTCAACTAATAAAAAGCAGGCATAATCACCCCAGATATGCAGTAAGCTTAAATAGGAAGAGGGCAGTACAGGTTAGCCCAGGTAACTAATAAGATCCTATTCTCAAAATAAGAAAGCAAAAAAGACCTAGGGATATGGCTCCAAGTAGTTGTAAGGCACTGAGTTCAAATTCTAGGACCACCAAGAGAAAGAAAAGGAAGGAAGGAAGGAAGGGAGGGAGGAAGGAAGGGAGGAAGGAAGGAAGGGAGGTACAGAGAGAGGGAGGGGAGGGAGGGAGGGGAGGGAGGGAAAGAAAGAAAGAAAGAAAGAGAAGGAAAGAAAGGAAGGAAAGAAGGAAGAAAGAAAGAAAAGAAGAGAGAATATAAAAGGAAGGAAAGACGGAAGGAAAGAAGGGAGAAAAGAAGGAAGGGAGGGAGAAATATGAAAAGAAAAGATGGAAGGAAAGAAGGAAGGGAGAAAAGAAGGAAGGAAAGAAGCTATATTCCTATTTCTACTTCTAGACACTGTGTGCCTACAATGATTGGAAACACAGCCTCTTCCCATTGCTTCTCCATTACTGGGGAGCTCACTTAAGTTGCACAGAAATCACTTGATGTTGGCAGGATTAACTATTCTCTGTATAGCCATTTAGATAATTGTAAAACTAAAACACTGACTCACAAATTGGAAGCAACACTTCTAACTACAAAGAGACTGAACTAAAGTTGTAAAGCTAGAAACTTCCCTGGGAAGAAGGGGGGGTGAGGAAGGAGGTTTTCCTCATTGTGTATTCTTGTAGTTCTTTCTAAACCTGAAGACAACGTCAGTGCAGCTCTCTCCCACATGCCTTCGCTTCACCCTGCTGAGCCAGGGCTCCAAGCACAAGAGGGCTGGGCTCGCTTCACAGACACGGAGAGTCTATGGTTTATTTTAGTCATACATTCTGATACCATTGCCCATGCATTCCACGTAGATTCACACCTCAGACAAGGTTATGCGTTGGTCAGTTCAGGAAGATGTTGAGATCAGGCTAAATTTTAACAAATCCAAATTCCTGTTTGCAAACTTCTACATCATACTCAATTCACAAGTTCTTCCTCCTCCACGCAGAGCAACTGGCCAAAAGCCCTTGGAGCCCCTGGCTCCCCGCCCCCCCCCCCAAACACTACATCCAGCCTCTCAGAAAATCTTGCTGTGCTGCCTTTAAAAAGCATTTGGAATCTGGTGGCTTCTCACTGCTTCCGGGGCTGCCAACCTGTTTGAGCGCACGTGGTATCTTGCCTCCTCAGTGCCAGAGCCGTTGGATGGTCTCCTTCCGCCCACCTTGGCCCTATCTGCTGCCGCAGACCCTGTTGCTAGACTGCACCCCAGCAGGGGAATCCAGATCAAAATCTGATCCTTTAATTTAGAGCCTCCTGCTTCAGCTTCCTGAGTGCTGGAATTGTAGGTATGTATCTCCACACCTAGCTATTATCTCATTCATTTTTTTAAATCTGCTCTTGCCTAGAGAAATTACACACACACACACACACACACACACACACACAAAACCATGTAACACTGGCATTTCTATCCAAAGGCCAGAAGGCCAACCAATCATAGTCTGAAGCCTCTGAAGCTATGAACTCAAATTAACCTTTTATTTTTTTCTTGTGTGTGTGTGTATGTGTGTCGTGGGGCCTGAACTCTGGGCCTGGGCACCGTCCCTGAGCTCTTCAGCTCAAAGCTAGCACTCTATCACTTGAGCCACAGTGCCACTTCCGGCTTTTTCTGCTTATGTGGTGCTGAGGAATCGAACCCAGGGCCTCATGCATGCAAAGCAAGCATTCTACCACTGAGCCACCTTCCCAGCCCCCAACCTTTTCTTCTTTATAAGATTATTACCTGGAGTATTTGTTATAGTAACAGAAAGCTGACTAACACACTTCCCATGTGTGTTAGATATGAAAAAATCTCACTAAGCATGTGCTCAGGTTTGTCAATAGCTTTCTCTGCCTTTTCTATGCACAGTACACAGACTGTGAGGTTCTGATTACAGGGGGAAAAAAAGCCAAAAACCTTTCCTAATTCTAGGCTTTCCAGTGCAGATCAAGGTTAGCTAACTCAAGAGAATGACTTCATCAGATTTGGTCAGGATTCCTGATGGCAATATATTTTTGGCACTGGCTGCATCTGGTTCAACATTTTACATGTTTTATTGTGTCTGTATCTTATTGTAATCTCAGGATGTCACTGTAAATCATTTAAAAAAACAAATACATGCAATATTTCTGGTATTAGAACCTGGGAATTCCTCCAAACAAACTCCCAGTCTCCAGTCAGGCCCACTACCAAATCAAACAGGATTTCTTTCCAACTATTAAAATGTTTCAGGGGAAATCACTTCCCTGCTAACTCATTCCAGTAGCTCATATTTTATTCTTCCCCCAAGAGAAATGAAGGCAGCTGTGATCATGTGCCAGGCTGAAATGCTTACAAAGACTGAGAGACTTGACATGGACATATGTCACTTGTGCATGCTTACACGCGCATGTGCACATGTGCACATGTACACGTACACACACACACACACACACACACAGTTCTTACCAACATAGCCTGGGGTTCCACAGGCCGTGGACATCACGTCTCCTTTGCCTTCCATTTTTGACAATCCAAAGTCACTGATCATTATTTTGGACTCCTCATCTTGACTGTAGTACAACAGATTTTCAGGCTAAAAAGAAAAAAAAAGACAAAAACAGATTATATTTAAAGGTAGACTAATCATGTGAGACTCAACCTACTGATAAACTTACCTTTAGCCTCAGCAGACGTCCCTGTCAATAGCCATCAGTTAAAACAGGGCTTACTAGGCATGCAGCCTCGCATGTGCCATCTGACATCTCCTTTCCTAATATCTTGACTACTTAAAATGACTGACCATATTTTAGGGCAATCTAAAAAGCCGATGGATGCCTCTCAGACAGGTCCATTCAGTATTCATTTCGGGGGATGGGAATTCTGGGATATAAAATCAGTTCTGAAGGTGGAATTCTGTTTCTTTTTAAATTAATGACCCCTGCTAGGTGCTGGTGGCTCACGCCTGTAATCCTAGCTACTCAGGAGGCTGAGATCTGAGGATCGTGGTTCAAAGCCAGCCCAGGCAGGAAAGTCTGTGAGACTCTTATCTCCAATAAACCACCAGAAAACAGGAAGTGGCACAGTGGCTCAACCTTGAGCTGAAGAACTGAGGGACAGCGTTCAGGCCCAGAGTTCAAGCCCCATGACCGACAAATACATACATACATACATAAAAATTAGTGACCCCTGGACTGGAAAGGTGGCTCAGTGGTAGAGCGCTTGCCTTGCATGCCTGAGGCCCTGGGTTTATTCCTTAGCACCACATAAGCAAAAAAAGAAAAAAGCTGGAAGTGGCACTCTGACTCAAGTGGTAGAGCACTAGCCTTGAGCTGAAGAGCTGAGGGACAGCGCCCAGGCCCAGAGTTCAGGCCCCACGACCAGACCAAAAAAAAAAAAATTAGTGACCCCTGCCCACTGCTTTTCTCGAATCTAAGAGTCTCTCTCCCTGTCCTACTAGCATCGATGAAGTGCACAGTGTTCTGCAGTTCTGGCAGACGGGCTGCAATCGGCCCTTGCTGAAACTGACAGGCACGGCTCCCTTCCCTCCCTGGGAAGCAGAAGGACTGCACCTCCAAATGAAGTCCAAGCTGGGTGCTGCAGTGCTTTCCAGCCCTGTGTCCTAAAGGATGCGGAGGCCCTGTTTGCCTTTCTGCAGAAAGCCTGGCTTCTGTGTGCTCCTTTGAATAGCATAGGGCTAAGCTCAGATAGCAGTGACACATAGCTAAGTTCTTATATTTCTCATTATTTCTCTCTTGTCTTTATATATATATATATATTGGTGGCGAAGGGGTTAGGCCTGAGTTTGAACTCAGGGCCTCATACTCACTAGGCAAGTATACTTAAGCCATGTCTTCAGTGGTTTTGGCTTTTTTTTTTTTCAGAGAAAAATCTTGTCTTCACTTTGTCTAGGATGGCCTCCAACTATAATCCTCCTATCATTTAAGGGTGGCAGTGGTACTAGGGATTGAACTCAGGGTCTCAGCCCTGAGCCACAATTCCAGTCTATATTCTGGTTTAAACTGCTCTTTGTATGTAAAATGCGGGAATCTCATGTTCCTGGCAGGGTTCAGGATGAGGAGAGTGAGCTGCTAGGGCCCCAGGGTTTTCTCTGATCCACTGGGCTGAGAATCTGAACACTGAAGAGACCCCTGCATCTGCTTTTTCTTTTGGAAAGAGTGCTTTCAACTGACGATGCTCTCCCAGAGGGAAGATAATGTTCAGGACCCTCCACCTACCATGATTCTGAAGACTCACTGAGTGAAAAACCTCAGAAGAAATGCAGAGAGAAGGATCTGACGGGAAAACCCAATCTTCCTCACCATTTCCCTTTGGCTTTCCTCCCCAGGAATTGAACATTGACTACACAGCCTCCCCAGGGCTACACAGAACAGCAATGTTCTGTGTAGAATGACCAGACTTACTCAGAAGAATGGTTCTTGGCCTAGTTGTGTGGCAACAGAACCCCTGAGGGCAGGGATTGGTGGGGGGCTTTGGTCTTCCGGTAGATATGGGCCAGGGCTAGGCAGGTGGACTTAGGGGTGGAGGGATCATGATGGACAGCCTCTGCTGTGAAGAGAACTTGAGAGCTGGCAAAGACTCTGTCCTTGATGAAACTTCAGCCCGGCTCCTCCAAGCCCTCTTCTCTTCCCTCCCGCCCCTCAGGCCTGTCTAGTGCAATCTTTGAATCTGGTCCAAAGCAGTGTAGAAAAAAATCCCCCCCACCCCCCATGAAGTCTGGTCAAGGTCTTCATCCTGCACTTTTGATGTTGTTAAAAGAGAAAAATGACTGGACAGCTTGTTAAAGATGGTGGTTAACTGGTCGTTACTATGGCAATGAGGTTTTGTAACGGGATGGAGTGCTGATGAGAAAACACATCAGGACTACGGGGAAATTCATCTGTATCAAACTGATTCGTGGAAACAATTTGATAGGTTTTTGGTAGACAGGTCAGGATAACAAGACAGGGCGGATGGGAGATAAGGATTTGGTGGGGGTGGAGTTCCGTCGCCCTCCTCCACGGCCACCGTCTTCCTTGCTGTTATAATGAGTGTCAAAATAATTTTGCTCTTCAAAAGTACCCAGGGAATAAACACTATCCTTCACCTCCCATGACAACACAAAGGAAATGGGACTCAATAAGTCCAGTGGCAATTCCTGTGAGTTAGAGGAAAATCAAAGGAGCTTTCAAAGAGAATCAAACTAGTCATTCAAGGGATGGAAGAGGAACAATGGTTTAGAAACAAGGAGAAATACTCTAATAATAAAGTGCACATGGCTAGCATTTTCCCCTGAATTTGGGGGGGGGTGGCTACAGTGACACACAAGATCCAATTAGAGATGTAGAAAGAAAGAATTTTTTTTTCTATTTCTGCTTTTTTCTTTTCCTCTTCCCCTCACCCACTTCTGCAGCTGTAGCAGAAGCAAGAAGGACTCAAAATCAAGTGAATCCTGCTGCTAAATAAGCATTAATGCAGGCAGGGCATTGCCAAAGGACCTCCATGAAGTGTATTCATTTGGGTCAATGAAATGCTTGCATGAAGAACAGTTATACCAGAAGAGGGTTAAATCAATGAGACACTCACCACTTAGATCAATACTTTGTACTGGCTCAAGACTTGGTAAAGATAGCCAAGCTTTTCCTAGAGATGGGAGTAGGGGAGTTGAGAAGGTGGCTGAGAGGACAGGCCAAAGAATAATCTAGATGGGAGGCTATTAGGGGTCAGCAGGTGGGTTGTAGGTGAGGGCTACCAGAAGGGGATCTGACCACCATACACGGAAGCTTTGCGAGGGTTCTAGAAAGGTCTACACTAAACTTATTTTGCTTAGTGTGTAGTGGCCCTGACAGACAACTGTGGACAATTCCTGCGTTGAAATACTGATCTTTTGTGTGTGTAGGTGCTGGTTCTAGGACTTGAACTCAGGACCTGGCACTCTTGCTTGGCTTTTTCACTCAAGGCTAGCGCTCTTCCACTTGAGCCACACTTCCACTTCTGGCTTGTTGCTGGTTAAATGGGGAAAAAAGGGTCTCTTGGATTTGCCTGGCTTCAAACAGAAATCTTCTGATCTCAGCCTGCCGATTAGCTAGGATTACAGGCCGGAGCCACTAGTGCCTAGCTGAATACCAGTCTTCACTCTAATTCACAAAGTAATCTTTAAAACGATCTGAATCAACACACTTCCAGTTCAGCACAATCACATTCCTAGTCCAGTAGTTCTCAACTGGGAAGAGGGGAGGGGCATTTCTGCCTCCCAGGGGACATCTGGCCAAGTCTAGAGACATTTTTGGCCGTGATGAACTGACATTCATCTATAGCAGCCAGAGATGACAGCATCTCCCACTCAAACAGTGGTCTAGCTCCCAGTGTCCACAGTGCAGGGAGTGGATCATAGTCCTGACTGTGCCCCTCCCTTTAATTAACAATCATGCTCTTCATTGCTCTGGCCTAGATTATATAGGTGCTTTTAATTTTCTTCAATGTTCATAAAAATTTTGCAATCCTAGCTCCCTCTACCTTGATGAAACATGTCTGTGCCTCTGTAAAGAGATGACAGAAAGATCCCCAAATGGCCATGTTCTTTCCACAAGGATAAGCCTGGTGTTCCTGAAGCCCCACGGGAGCAATCACCTGTCCAATACCATTAATAAGGAACTAAAACATAGTATCTTCTCTCCAGCCAAGACATGGCTATTTTGTGGGTCCTCCTGATACTGGGGGTTGAACTGAGGGCCTGCAGAGTCAGCCTGCTGGCAAGGTCCAGCAAGCAGAGATGCTGTTTAGCCTCAAGCCACATCCTCTGTCTCTGAGATCACAAGAAGGTCCTAATGAGGCCTATGGAAAGGGAAACTGATGGGACATGACATACGGAAAGAAGAGAAAAGTTTACAGTGAGTCTTGTACTCTTTATTTCAGTGTACTTAGTCCAGGGCATGAACCCAGAGCACTGAGTTAGCCTGACAAATATTCTACCACTGAACCAAAGCCTAGCCCAGGAGAGAGTGGTTTTTGTTGTTGTTGGTGGTGGTGGTCACTGGACTTGAACTCAAGGACTGGGCAATGTCCCTGAGTTGTTTTTTTGTTTTTGTTTTTGTTGCTAAAAGCTAATACTCTACTGCTTTGAGCCACAGCTCCACTTCCAGTTTTCTGGTGCTTAATTGGACTTTATGGTGCTTCATGGACTTTCCTGTGTAGGCTGGCTTTGAACCATGATCCTCAGATCTCAGCCACCTGAGTAGGTGTGAACAACTGGCACCTGGTCCAATCCTAATGAAAGGAAAAGCTATCCAACTTTACCTGTTGACACCCAGCAGCAAATAATGGGCAGCTACTGAACTGCTTTAAAAAATGTTTATGCCCAATTCTTTTAATTTTATTTATTTTTTGAGTTAGTTTAGGTGGTACTAAGGAATCAAACCCAGGGCCTTATACATGCTAGGCAAGTACTCTACCCCTAAGCCACATTCCCAGCCTTTATGACCAATTCTTTAAAGTGATGTAGATGCCACACAGCTGGGCACAGGAAAATACCAGAAAAATACAATCACTGCACTTCATGTCTGTGTAGGTGCAATGAGGGCTGGACCTATAATGACTGACACTGCACAGACTTGTGCTTGTGCTGCTTTTCACTGTTTCTCAAGCTCATGGGCTATCTGTTCCTGGTTAGCTACTCACCCCAGGAGGAAGGGTATGGGAAGCTAAAGGATTACTGAGAAGGGCCAGATCTTCTGGTGCTCGTTGGTGATGGTGGCTATGACAACGCCTTAGGAAAGATGACTGTCTGGTAATCCCAGCACTTAGGAGGCTGAAGCAGGAAGATCATGAGTATGTAGCCAGCTTGGGCTGGTGTGTGGGGTGGTGTAGCGCGGTTGGAGGATGTTGCTAGGCAACGGCCTCACCTTGAGATCCCTGTGGACGATGCCCATCCTGTGGAGATAGTACACGGCATCCAAGACCTGCCGGATCAGAGTGCTCGCGTCTTTCTCGGTATAAAATCCCTTCTCCACTATCCGATCGAATAGCTCTCCACCGGATACGCTGTTCAACACACACAAATGCAAAGAACCAATTAGAGGTGTGGGAGGAACTGTTGATGAATACAGGCAAAGTCATCAATAAGAGCTCTCCATGTGATAAAGGTACTAACTTTATTTTGAAAACAAATTAAGAAAAGGAACCTGTGTTTTAGGTTTAGAGTTTGTTCTAGAAAGTGCCCTATATTAGGGCAGCAGAAATATACCAAGTAAAATAAAAGTGATTAAAAAACAAAGTAAAACCAGGACCCTGACTTTGCACCATATGCTGCTGTGACAAGGTAAAGTCAAAAGACTTTCCAGGCTGGGTGCTGGAGGCTCACGCCTGTAATCCTAGCTACTCATGAGGCTGAGATCTGAGGACTGTGGTTTGAACCCAGCTCAAGCAGGAGAGAGTGAGACTGTTATCTCCAACAAAGCATCACACTGCAAGCTTTTTTTCTCAGGGGTAGTTTATTAGAAATAAGAGTTTCATGGACTTTTCTGTCCAGGCCTGCTTCTAACTGAGATCCTCAGATCTCAGCCTCCTGAGAAGCTAGGATTACAAGCATGAGCCACTGGCACTCAGCCCAATCAGCCATTCTCAAAGCGAATAGGTGCATACCCTCGGAAGCACAAAATGTCAAAGCCATCTGCAATTTATAAGTGAGGAAAAAGACAGAGGACTCTATCATACTGCTTTGATCTGAGGTTGTTGACAGTATTTCATGTTAATCTGTGTTCAATCTCAGGCTGCATTTAATTTTTTTTAATTTATAGAAGTGGAAAGTGGTTGGCAAGGATCAAGGCCCTGGTGGAAGCTCACCAGTCCCTCAGCTTGACCTCCGTTATTTTGTGCTGCCCTGAGTCTAATGGAGTAATGGAAATGGACAGCTCAGAATAGAAACAATTCAACCAACTACCTTTAAATTTTAGAGTTCATGCTTCTCTTAGAAAAATTCAAATAATCAAGTCATAGAAGCAGGCTTCAGGGATGTGTGAAGATGATTACAAAAACAAAATTTTCAAAAACAACATGAAACAGAGACGTATTTGAAATATTAAAAATCATCAACGAGCTCAAAAACAACTTTTATAGCTTTAATAATAAAAGATAGGCCCAAAATGTAGCAGATGCCCATACACAAGCAAAGATGGGAGTCATTTTTCTGAGTCATGGCAATTAATGTGCACTAATGGACCCACTTAAACCAGCTTTGTAACAACAACAACAGAAACAACTAATAAAGAATACAACAATTGCTGCTGTAAAAGTCCTGTGTGGTCGAGTTCTTCCATCAACTCCAGTTATTTCCAAGCAATATTGTGCTTGGATAATGTTTCACTTCTGCAACAAATTGACATTCTAGACAAGGAGACACTCAGGAGACATAAAAAGCAATCCAAACTGTGGAAGCAGCCAGGAATACAGTGCTGTTTGGTGACCATGTCATCTGAATGATTCATCCTTAGGTAAGCTAACGTTTCAAGACATACCCTCATGGCAACTGGCTACAAGATTTTTCTAGAACCTTTCCCAACAAGTTTCAATGTCTGAAATGTTGCAGAAGTGGAGAATGTACCATGGGAGATAGATTGCTGCTGAGGGCCAAAGGTGCCTAGATAACCTGGTGGTGTTCATCTAATCATTTTCTCAACATCTGCTTAGCATTTCTTGGGTGCCTATTACATGCCAGGTTGATGACTAGAAACAGACAGTGGCAACCAAAGCAGTGTAGCTGCCAAGGGAACGAATACGTTTTATTTGTGACCCTCCAAACCCTCTCCCATTGGTCCTCCTTCCAGCAATGACGCACCTGATATTCTAGGTAGAGTTTTCTCATCCTTGGCCTGCCTGAAACCACCTCCTCTCTTTCTGCAACTCTCAGAGGACCTTAGGCAAAAATGCTCATCCCTTTCTTACCACCCTACCTCCTACTCTGAGCATTCCACTACCCAAATCTAGTCCAGTCCTGTGCCTCCTCACAATAGATCTGCTCTGTTTCCCCTCTCAGGGCTCTTACTCCTGCTATGCACAGACAAGGTATTGATAGGTTCCATTGAATGCAAATACCTGCACTGCTACACAGCAGCAGCACAGGAAAAGTGGAATCATCCCTACCAACACTGGCTGTGCAGTTCATTTCAGACTCTGCATTCTTCAACTTCAAATGGTACCAGGCCTCTACTTTCCTGAATATTACTCATAAAGAATTAGGTTTCCTTTGAAACCAAGGCACAGGGGAAGTGTTTAGAAAACTTGAAAGGGGAAAAAAACCCAACACATGTATAGTACCAATTTAAATATAATATTAAATCTGCAAATCAAATCAAATATAGTGAAAGCAGGGGTTATACTGTGGGGGAGGGACATACAAAGCAACAAAGAAATAATCTTATAAATGTGTTAGAAACAAATGCATGAAAGAAAAAAACATTTAAATACATATCTAAGGGTTCATTTTCCTAACATCACATTATCTGACCTTTTCTGCTTGACTCATACATATATTAGATATTGCAAATAAGGGAAACCATGGGACCTATGTTTCTTTGGGCTTGGCTTACTTCACTTAATATAATTTTTTCCAAGCCTTTCCATTTCCTAACAAATGGGGCAATGTCATTCTTTCTGATGGAGGCATAGAATTGCATTGTGTATATATACCACATTTTCTTGATCCATTCATCTACTGAGGGGCATCTGGGTTGGTTCCAGATCTTAGCTATGATAAATAATGCTGCGATAAATATAGCTGTGCTGTCTACCATTGTTCCTATACTGAAGCCATAAGACAAACCCTCCATGATAGCAGGGAAATGTCTCCTCTTTTGCTCCTAACTGGCAACCCTTGGGATTGTCCACCTGTTGAGGCTGTGGGTGTGAATAAAAGATCACTTAAGGTACTTTAATTTTGTCTGGGAAACTTGCCTGTAGAAACTGATAAAAAAAATTCTACTTCATTACTTAAGGGAAAGAAAAGAATTATAGGATGTATTAAGAAACTATTAGTATGATTGAGATTTCAAAGAAAAATAGCTAATGCTGTCCAACTCAAGGCACCTGTACACATTCAAAAAAAAAAAAGATCATCACAAATCATTTCAACTGCTTTGGACCCCAAAAGGGTATTTTATTTATATTGAGTCCCTAACGCATGACTTTTCCAGGAGAGAAGAAGAGAAAGAAAATCAGTCAATATGTGAACATAAGTGGGGAAGTGTAGAGGGTGGGAAATGCTGTCAGAGCTAGCAGTGTGGATGGGATCTGGATGACAGTGAAGAGCCAGTATCGATCAGGAGAGAGCATTTCAGTCAGAGGGTGAGTATGGCCTAGGACCCTCAAGGAAAGAACAGGTCTGTAGGCATTTGAGAACACAAAAAAAGGTTGGGTGATTAGAGTGTGACAAGACAATGAGGAATATGTTTCCAGAAGTTTGAGAAAGAGAGAGGCTCATGTAAGCTCAAGTTCAACCATTCTATATCTATTTTGTGTTTGATGAGAAGTCACCAGAAAATTTTTGGCTGGAAGGCAGATGAAATGATTTTTTTAGATGGTTGTTGGGGATGAGTTGTAGAGTCAAGAATGGAAATAGACAGATCAGCTGGGGAACAGATAGAGAGGTTGGTAGCTATGGTTGGATGGAGCACAGAAATAGTATAGACAGAAGAAGAGTATGTTTTGGACACATACTAGGTGAGACTCATAGATGAAAGCTGATAGGGGAAACACAGGAAGGAGAGCATTCCAAAAATGTCTCTTGGATTTCTGACCTGAAGAATGGGTAGATGGTGGTGTCTATACTTGAATTAAGGGGTCTGTAATGGTTACTTTTATGTGTTAATTAGACTGGGCTGTGGACTGCCCAGATTATTTGGTTAAATGTAATTTCTGGGGATATCTGTGAAGATGTTTTTAGATAAGATTATTATTTGAGTTGGTGGGCTTATAAAAGGAGATGATTTCCCCCCAAATGGGTGGGTAGGTACCAAGATGATATTCATATCATGATGATATACTCTGTTGAGTTCCTGAGTAGAAGACATAGAGGAAGGAAGAAGTTTCTCCTTTATCGTTTGTCTGATTGTTCAAGTTGAGATATCAGTCTTTTCCTGCCTTGGACTGATAAATATACCATTGGCTCCCTTGGTTCCCAGGACTTGGGTTTCAGACTACATCACACCAGCAACTTCCCTGAGTCTTCAGCTTGCAGGTGGCAAATCACAGGACTTTTTTTCCACTTCTACAATCTATCAACTAACCAGCCAATTATACCTCATTTGTTTTTTAGAAAACCATGAGTAATACACAGAAGCTGGTGAAAGACTATATTTGGAAAAATAATACTTTTTAGGGCTTCCCTGAACAACAGACTTTCCTGCAACGATGGAAATGGTTCTTGTCCATATTGTCCAATATGGCAACCATTAGTTACTTTTAGCTATTATGCATTTAATATATGGCTAGTCACCTGAAATAATTTTTATATGAATATTAAATATATATATATATATATCCACATGACATTAGCAATGTGGATAGATAGCACAAATTGAGAGTATTGGGTAAGACACAGGAAATCTAAGGTCTCTATTGGACAGAGAAGTCAGACAGGTACCTGTTATAAGCCTGATCTCAGAGGGACAAATTAGAACTAGAGTATGAAATTAGAAAGGCATTAGCACACTGATGGTCAAGAGTCCAGATGCAATCTACCACTGAGTAGCTGGGTTAGAGATAGGGATATCTAATGCCAAAACTTAGGAGAGGAAGAGCTAGCCAAGGAAAAGTCAGAGAAATAGAAAGTGAAAGAAGATAGTGAAATGTCATAGAAATCAAGGAGGGATAACTGGTCGACCCTGATGAATGCCTGGAGGTCAGAGACCATCTGTTGTGTTTGATAAGGTGAAGGCAAGGGCTGTGGGTAGCCATCTAGGAGTTATTAGCACATCAAATGGCTTCTAGGGAATTCTGACTGTGTAAGAAAGGGTATTCAGGACTGAGTTTTCAGACTCATTTTCTTT